CTAACCAGCAAGTTTATTGTGTAATTTAAAACAATGTTGTTTGATTTAAAAACACATTTAAATGAAGTTCACACCTTGTGTAAGCACAATCCAACAGCATAATAAATTCACTGTCCCCGAACTTAGATTTCGATTTTCCTCCAGTTGTTCTTATGTAACTTCACCATGTGGGAGTTTTTTTCTTCAGGCTCTCTCTCTCTCTCTCTGTGTGTATTGTTCACATCTCCAGTCTGCTTCCCTCGAAGTGTGTGATCTTGCATGTGCTTTCTGAATTTTCCTCTTATGCACGCAGTCTCTTGTTCATGTGTACTGTACGTGTGTATTTGTGGTGTACTCTCCCTCCCTGTCAGTGTTCAGTGTAATGCTGTATCTACTGTATGTCTTGATATCTCATTTTATACCCTGACAATTTGACTCGCATTGTTGATAATGTGGAATTACCTGTGCGCATAGTGTATGTCATTCAAAATAATCTTTAAAATCAGAAAATGTAGCAGGTGTGCAGTTTTTTAATGTTCAGCATAACATTATGTCACACATGATATATATTGATGTCAAAATATTTTTGTTTCAGAAAGGCCCATTGAGCATTTTTAATTACCTGATTAGTTGCTTATGTAATGAAAAAAGAACCTATTAAAACCTAATTTCCTCCCACTTAATACAAGAAAATGTGCACACTACAGTCCGTGATTAGTGTTAGAATAACTTGCAATTAAATTTTGTTTTATTAACCCCTTGCCAGCAGCTCTAGCTTCTAGTTACATTACATCACTTACACATCGCAAACCTTTCTATGTGACTGTCACAGAGACGTTGTATTAAAAGTCATTTTCCTGTCTCCCTGTTTGTGATTTTTGGTTCTCACTGTGTCTGTTGTCTCTGTGGTGGTAATTTGTTGACATGTCTGCTTTGGTTATTTTTGTTGTTATTGTCTTGTATGTCTCCATCATAGGTAAAATGCAAGATGGCAATATGGAGAGCAACCAGATTAAAGGTAACCAAACCATATCTTTCACTCTTTCCCTCCCTGCCTTCTCTCCCTCATCCTCTTCCTCCTCCCCCTCTTCCCCCCTCTTCATCTTTTTCCTTCTATGGCGTGTGGTGTAAGCTCTGGGTCAAATGCAGGTGAAAAATCCTCCATTGTTTTATTTATAGCATCGATAGATCGATAGATTATATTTTACACTCTTAATACCTCACAGTCTCTCAAATTATTGTGCAGGGCTAAATCAATGTAGATTCTAAGGGACTTGGACAAAGTCTAATAGTGACATATAAATCCAGAGAATGTAAGTGTTTGATCCAGGTTTTACCTGCAGCCATATTAGGGTAGAAATCCTTCCTCTTCACTCTGTCTGTCACTGATGTGTTGTCCCTGGTCTTTGTTATGTTATTGTTCTTGTTGTGTTGTTGACTTGTCTTGTTCTCTATGAGAGGACAGAAATCTGTCCCTTAACTACTGTATCTGCCTCACTTGCGCTGCCCTTTTCCCCCAGAAACACCTGAAACTGCCCTCTTGGTTCTCTCCTCAATTTATATACCATATCACACCTTGGTTTCCCCTTACTACTGTTTCATGAATTTTTCTCCACACAATAGGACATAAATCGTGTGGCATTATAGAGATACTGTGACTTTTTGATGGTGTAACCACAGTAATGTTTATTTTTATTATTGTTAATCTATTAATTTAATCTGTTAAATATACAAAATAATAAAAAATGATCATCCTAGGTTATCAAAGTTATGCCTTTGAATTGCATATTGTGTTAGTCAAACTCTTGAAAGCAATTTAATCGTCAATTATATAAAACAGAAAAAGATGCTGAGTCTACAAGTCTATCTACCAAATCCAAGCATTAATGTCAGGACAAAATAATGGTGAGATAGAATAACAGACAAGCTGAAAAAATCTAAATATCCCCAAAGCAAATGGGCAAAAGGGTAAATGAAGTTTTTTTTACACCTCGGTATGATGATCACAGTCTAGATCAGCTAGAATACAGAACAAAATGATGAAGATGAACCTTTGTCCTGAGCGTGTTTTAACATTGAGTGTTTGATCTTGCTGTTCTGCTGCGTACAGTCAGATACAGATACTTTCTGTCTTGTGTCATGGGGGTGGAAAAACAAAATGCAAAACCAGCAAGCATGACAAATGACAAATGTTCCATATTAAAAGGTTTTTCCTGAGCATCAAACATATGCCTCATTGTTATTTGGAAAATGGGCTATAATGATTTTTGGCTATGGGCTACATTAACAGAGAAGCACTGTACTGTTATTGCATGTATGTGTGTATGTCTGTGTGTGAGAGAGGTGGAGAGAGATGGAGAGAGAGTGAGGTAATTGAGGATTGGTTTTATAGCCTGAACAGTGTTTTGTACAGAAAATGTGAAAACACCATTAAGCAGTTCCTACTGTAAAGTAGATAAAATGTCAATTATTCTCAAAGTGTGAAAGTAGATTTATATACATGCAACATACATAGAGCACTATGCATTTTAGCAATTAGATCATTAACAACCATTTGGATTTGGACTTTTTGACTAATGGAAGCAGTTTTATTCAATTTGATCTTTTTGTGCAAAACAAAGACGTTCATTTCAAATGCAGCATACAGTAATGGGGTTTTATGTGACCCAACCTCCTGCCTGAGAAGTGTTGTTTCAGTAAAATGAATAATAATCATATACAAGGCTCTACTGCACTATTTGGGGATTTGCAAGACTAGTTTCTTTTCATTATAATTATAAGAGATACGCTTTCAAAATTGTGGATATTTTTTGTTCTGTTGACTATTTCTCATGTAGTTCTGTGATCATATTATTGCCAGAATAGAAACTTTCTTCACCTAAGATCTCTGCCCTGTGTTCCAGTATGGTATAAAGTGGATTTTAAAACACTGCTGCTATCTATACATCTATACACCAAGGTCTATTATTGTACAGTACATCACTCAATGGATTAAGGATAAGATATGTTTCTTATATTGCTTTTAGAATTTGAATCGTCTACACCTCCAAGGTCATTTGAAAGTGGTGTGCAAAGTGTTCCCAGAGAAAACAGCTAAACAACCTAAAATTGATGTTTAGTTATCATGCTACACATCCAAACAAAAAAAGAAAAAACCCTGATATATTCTCCATGTCAGTTTCTTAAATTTTTATCTTTATTGTTTGGAATTATGCTTTTATTCCAGTCAGTTAAATCACTTTTTAATCTTTTTTGTTTCTTTTATGGTTATTTCTGTATTTTGTATTTTTTATGTGAAGCATAGTCAGTTTTCGGTGTGTTTAAAATGTTTTTCTCCCCACTTTCTGCAAAACTGCATGTTTCAAAATAATCTGTGAACATGACCTAGACCTTGGATGAAGGACCACTGAATTATTGATGACTTACTGTAAATGTGTTTGTGATGAAAAGAGTGTGAATGATAAGAAACAGTGTTTCTCTTACTACAGCAAAAGAAGACTTACAGTATCATGCATTTTTAGAATTCATATTCATATATACAGAAATGAGGTTCACAGCCTCTTTGATTTTACCACGACCACAATGCAGAGAAAAAATAGACAATCCTCATTATGGTACGTGAAAGACTCATATATTAGTTTCCATCTTGTCATGGGTTGTCACATGGTCTCTTCTTCTAAACTTTATGTCTCTACTGAATGTCCCTGAGCTGGTGTAACACTTGGGTGTTGAATCCTGGCTCCCTGCTCTTCTTCGCTCCCTTGGTCTAATCTACATTTCTAATGCTGCTGCTGTCTGTTTTTATGTGGTGTTTACAGTAAAGAAGCAGGATGGAGCAGCTGCCATGGAGATGCAGCCTCTAAAGAGTGCTGAAGGTGGAGAGGCTGATGAGAAAGAGAGGAAGAAGGTGTCCATTCCGAAGAAGGAAAAGTCTGTGCTGCAAGGGAAGCTGACCAAATTGGCTGTCCAGATTGGCAAAGCAGGTACAGCAAATTGCACAGGGACAAGTCCATCACTCAGTCTGGCAGTAACAAGGTATCAAACTATCATCCTGTCCATCAAAACAAGATGTTGCACTGATAAGACTCACTTCTTGGTTGCTTAAAGCAATCAAAGCAGTTAAAGAGAACACTGATTTATGAAAGGTCTGTTCATTTTATTTTTCTAAATGACCTACCCTCTAGGGAGTTGCTGAATCATTGTAGTGGGAACAAATGAGACTGCATTATGCAACTTATTCACTTCTGCAGTTTTACAATCATTACATTTATTTAGCTGACACTTTTATCCAAAGCAACTTACAATAAGTGCGTACAATCCATACCATAATCAACTGTTTGTAATGTAATTTAAAGCAGTTTATGGCACTGAGGACTTGATGTCTCAAACACTTGCACTGAGTCTGTACCAACAGCATGCATTTTTAGTAACAGATGCCCACATGCCAATATGCCCACACTGTGGGTGTCCTCGCAGCAGCAACATAGTAGGATTATTGCTGGACAAATGATAGCCATGAATATTACATACCTAAAATAGTTTCTTAGTAAAAACTTAAGGTTTTTCATTTTCAGAGAATCCCATAAAGAATTCCTTGTTTTTACAGTGTGCTGTTACATCAGACTGTTGGTCTGAGTGACGGAATGAGGACATATTGTCAGAACAATGAAATACCGTGGATGGATTAGCATATAAGCAGCATTTTAAGATTATATGGCCTTCCTGCGGGCCTGGAAGAAAATGTTTGGACTTAATACACTTCAGGGCCCGTGACCCTCTAGCATGTGGGCATGCAGCTTATCTGTTCTCTATGCATTCTGAATAAATCTGGTCTGTATCTATCTGACAATTATCTAACTTATAATTTATATAGTTTACTTCACTGGATTTAATTTACACAAACAGACCCAGAACACATGAGACAGAACTCTACCTGCCATCTCTGATGATAGCAACTGTACAGCCTGTGTAGGAATTTCCTAATCATATCTGTGACAAATTAAAGCCTGTCCTTACCATGTGATTACATTTCCAACCCAAACTGGGTCATTCCACCAAAGAGTAATGGTAAATGGTAAATGGATGAGTAAACTGGACCCTGTACTTGTATAGGCCTTCCTCACATCCTTAACGACCACCTCAACAGTGCGCTTTTACACCTACGTCACAGGTTCACACCCTTTCACCACATGTCACCGTGTCAGGTGGTGCGCAAGCCTCGAGCAGAAAACGAATGCAAGTTCATAACTTCACACACGATGACCGGCATCAGCGGAGCAAGTTCGGCGGTCAGTATCTTTGCTCCAAGTGATGACTCTCGACATGTGGCACCAGGAGCCGGGATCCGAACCAACAATCTTCTGATTCAGGGGACGATACACGCTCGCTGCAGTCTGTGCGACAGCCGCAAGCAGAATAGATATAACTATAAGATTCTGGTATGGAAGAACGACGTGACTAAATGATTATGATTAGGTCTTGTCTAAACTTGTGTGCACCAGCTGCCAATAAATAACTGTAAGTATAAATCCTAACCTTTATACTGGTTGCATAAATGTCGCAACTCTTGTTGTTAGAGACTGTTGTTAGAAAGAACTGTCATGGTCTGAGTTCTAACCTGCCACCCCCCCCGTCCCCATCAGCACTCTTCCTTCTCACCATGAATCCCTCCGCGATCCCACGCTGCCCTCCCGGCTCAGCTGGGAACCCTTCTTTATATCCTTTTATGCAGTTATACGCAAATCAATATAAAATCACGAAACAATAAAAACAACAAACAAAAAACTCCAGTCATCATCCTCGGATCTTGTTCCTCTTGCATGTTGACAACTTTGTGATGCAGAAGCGCCCATACGATGCCAGCTGCACTCGCCATCTACCTCCACCCTACTCCAGTTGTAAACGTCATCGGCTGCCATGCATAAGGATGTGACTGTGTTAGGTGGCTGGCCTGCCTGCCAGGGGCCTCACGCTGCGCTGTCACCATTTCCCTACGTCCCCGCACCCCCCCTACTCTGTCACCACGCGCTGACCAGTCGTCCAGTCCCAACACACTCACTACGAACCCCCACATACAGTGCACATAATTACTGACGGCCACTGCCGTGTCATTCACTCTCGCCTCCGTGAGGGCTGGCCATATGGGAGAGGGCTGCACTGTAACTCCCATTCGTAGACGCCTAGATAGTAATCGTCTCAAGCACTGGACTTGCTTCTGCATGTCCCCTCCATTCCTTTATGCAAGTCTTTTTGTCGTTCTTTCATTCTCGACGTTTGCTTGCATCACAACTTAGGACATGAAAAATCTCGCTGGGTGTGGAATGGACAATGTGTTATACCGTTAATGGTCCACCACTGGCTGCCTGTTGACGCTATTCCTTTAATCCGTCTGTTGCTCGCTCCCCCCCACCCTAACATCACAACATTCTTACGACTACAGGGTGTGAGCATAAGCCGAACCGCTCCGTTTCTCTGTGCGCATTCGCCTGCAACCAGTTTCTAGTCGGTAAAGCATCTGGTAAACCGTGCGAAGCTGCCTGTAAGCTAACTTTATGTACCCACTTGAGCGTCAAATATTTCTCACCACGAGCATTTCTCAACTATGCATCCTGGACCCCAGAGCCTGATCGACTTCCCGCGCCCGCCCCATCTTACCCTATATCCACACACACGAAGAAAAACTAATCAAAAAAGACACAACAACAATGGATAAGATAACTCCATAGGATGCATGTAAACGAACAGAATGGCTAATGCAAACACCAACGACCATAGCTCCTGTGACAAGACAGGCACAGGACCACAAATATAATAAAATATACACATAATACAACGAAGTAAAACAGATGTGCATACAAAAAGAAAAATACCAAAAGGAACAATAGGAAGCATCATGCAACAACAAACCATCACGATATACTAGATAAAACAATATCATATCTACACACTACGTACCCAACACAACAACCAAATAAACCTGGTAGAGGAACACCATATGTTAGAGAAGATAGCATCGTGCAAAAAAAGATAAACACTTCTAATCAAGACATCCCTATCTCAGAGATGGTCATCTAACCACTACCATGATAAACGATAACTCATAACTAAACCTGCATCGTGAAAACCTCCTATCAAAAAAAAAAATAGATATAACAACTACTTTAATAAACAAAATATAGATTAAATAATAACAAAAGTCCACACAAAAAAACACAATAACAATCACTACTTCATAAAATAAACAACAACCCACCCAAAAGATCACATCCACTCACATACTACAAACAACTACTCCACACAACAAACCAACATCTCCATCCATCACACATATAACCCGCACTCTCCACCTCCCCCCCAAACAAACACTACTTAAGATAGATATAAATCACAATAAACAACAACAAATCCGCGCTATACACCACACACATATCTGGCCCCACTATTACTCGCCCACACCCTCTTACACACCACCAACGACACATCGACATGAGACCAGTCTATCAGTGCTCTAGACGCTCATCTTACTGAGCAAAAGAACGAGCACAACATCACAAAATACTCATTACACACTAGCTGTTCTCTCCGGACTTGCCCTCTGCGAGGCCTTCACTCACTCACTATGTCACCCTCTTTAGCAACACGGTATTGCCCCCTTGTACACTCTTATCCTGTACTCCTTAGAACATCCACAGGCACTGCCTCCCCTCCACATCATGAGGATGCCACCCTCTATTACAGTGCAACGCCTGCATCTCTTGCGTCCCTTACATGGCAACTCACCGCCCGGGCGAAGATAGGGGAGAGTGTGGCGGGGGTTCCCTATCAGCCATTTAGACTGTATACGCAACTACGCACAATGCGAATACGTAAATACAGGACGCTACCGATACCTACTACCAATACTAGCTCAGAAAGCCAAACCAAAAGAACATGATAATACATCTCTTCTATCACAAACAATCGAATATATACCAATGATCCTCTTCAGGTGACCGCGCCTCCGGTAATAATACCAAGAGATTGGCCAAGAGACTAGCTCTCGAGAAAGCACTTCGGCCACACGACTGCAGGATGTCTTCAGACCTGTTAGCAGCCAACACTGCCGAAGTACAGCTCAATTTCCTGGCATGACCATCCGCGTCTCTATCAGCCTGCACCACTGAGACCACACCACACATTTGTGCCTGATCTTTGTGTCACTATCCTGTGTAAACCCCCTGTACCGCGCGCCTGCTCCTCTGCTGCTGAGCCAGTGCAGCAGAAATCCCTTATCCGCGAATTGCATCGGACGTAGTCTGAGGGGGCGCGCGGCCAGACCAGTCTGCGATACAGAAGGATCAACCGATTTCGCTCTTCTACCCCGCTCCAAGGCCGATGCAGTCTCGGTGAACCGCGAGCTGTTGCCACTGTGTCTGGCTCCTAAGTGGGAGAGCGAGCATATTTGTTGTCAACTCTAGTCTTAACTCTACTTTTGAAACTTTGAAACAGTGATGCCACTTAGCAATAAGATTACTGTTGCGCATACACAGGCAGACATAAATTGGTGTGATCACAGGCTTGTGTATGCGCAGTTACAAAATTGGTATAAAATCGTATAAAGTCACAGCAGCGAAATTTAACTATTACTTTCATTCAGAGTGTATTTACTTATCCATTTAGGTCTTGTTGCCCTGTGATTTCTTAATCGAGCTTTAGCAACGGGACATGGTCTCCAAGACTTTCTGTGTCACAGTCAGGTAAACTCTGACCACACCCACCACACTTGTGAGTTTCCTCGTTGCACGTCAACTATACAGACCGGGAGTCTTTATTTACTCAGTGTATAATACACGTTCTGTCTTTCTCTCCCACTTGCCAAATACCACGTCTCGAGGAATTAAGTTTAGGGAGTACCCAGAGTCAGATGGTGGTTGAGTTATGTCGTGAGAGCTAAAGAATACAAAACGTGCCCATGTATGACGGTTCGATATCACTGGGTACGCCC